GTACCTCCAGGTGCTCCAGTTTCCCGCCTCCCCCACAGTCCAGAAACATGCTGAGGCTAATTAGTTACCAAATTGCCCATAGGTGTGCATGTGTGAGTGAAGGTGCGGATTTGGAAGGCAAGGACGTGTCCCTGGTGAGTCTGTGGGAATATCATGTGTGTTTAGGATGGGTCGGGGCTGACTGATCCCTACCAATGTTGAAACCAAACACACGCCCTTGCTCCACCATCTTGTATACTGAATACAGCCAGTAGAGTTGGATCGGAGTGGTTGTGTGTGTGTGTGTGTGTGTGTGTGTGTGTGTGTGTGTTTTCAGTACTATTTTGAGGCTGAAGAGATGAAATACCAATTTCTTCTGGACAACACAACATCATGCAGGACCAATTACAGACTTTGAAGCAAAACTTCCTATCTAATAAGTGAAAACACACTTGGGCCTCTGCTCTATCTTTGAACAGGGGACTGTCCCCAGCACAGTGTGACCGTATGCAGTTAGCATGAGAAACCGGAGCGATACAGAGGACTTAACACCAACACAACGGCCACCAGACGATTCCCATGTCAGCTCGGAGTGAGCATAAGAATAACTACATGAATGAAATGTCCAGACTCTGTTTTGGATGTCATGATCCTGGAATAGATTCCTAGTCATTTGCTCATTCCTCAACATACTGAGGGGTTAAAAAAGTCTCTGGGTTGGTGTTTGAGGACAGGCAGACCGTAGACATAAGATGCCCGCCCAGCCACAGAACGGAAAATTCCATCACGCTGGAAAACAGGATGGAAACACAGGGCAGACTGCAGTATCTGAGGTCCTGCATGAGGGACGCGTTTAATCTGATGTGGCTCCTGTCTGATATACTGGGTAACATGAACTGAATGAATCTAACCCGTCCACGCCCCCCCACACACACACACCTAGCGCGTTCACACATTTTCCAAAAGTCCAGGTCACTTGGAGTCACTCGACTCTGTGTCTACGTGAAACTTCAGAGCATTTCGGCTGGGTGTTCGGACTGTGTGAGTCCTCTCCTGTCACTCACAAAAACACACAGACAAACACTGTCAAGACAGCACAACCAAGAAAAAAAAAATGGAAATCAAAGCCGGACATTGCTCGTGTAGTCTTATACACTTGGTCTTTTCAGACAGCACACACATCTCATATATCAAAAGGTCTCTTCACTTAGTGAAGAGTGAGTACTCATCATTCCAAATACATGAAAGCCTTCTGTCTCTCTCACGTAATCCCAATTTTTTTCCCCTACTAACATCGACAGCTTGAATGAACAGACAGCCACATAAATATTTATCCCTGCAGAACCTCCTGTGCATTTTAAGGGGCCGACGTGGGCAAAACGGCGGTGGTTGTGTGCCGCAAAGTCAAAGACGCACATCTCACGATCTCCGGAAAACTCGAGCACATTTCCCGAGCGTTATCTCGTAAGTTTGCCGAAGATGGCCAGAAGCAGAACGTGCGAATCTCAGCGGCGCCATGTTGCTGCAAAAGACGAAATACCTCTCATCAGTGAAGATTTAGTGGACGGCCTCACCGTTGCCAGGGCAGAGAGGTACCACCTTCAGCAGGGAGACTGAGTAAAAAAGTTCATGAATGGAGCTGGAAATTGCTAAGCGATTGCTTGCTCTAATTACATAATTACGCAAGGAGCTGATGTAAATTGAAATTGAAAAGGCAATAAAGCACATGGATGCTTTTTTGTGTCAAGAAGGAGGAGAACAGCCAAAGACTCCCTCTGGCAAAAGCTCCATAGCACCAACACTGAGGAGATACCTGTGGTCCCCCGCTAGGTGCTACTGATCAGGATCTGTTACCACCTCACTGCCTTCATGCCTACGGACTCTGCCAGGGCTGACTGCTGATGAGAGAGGAACACGGTAATGGAGACGTGGGTTCTCATGCAGAAGATGGCTTCAATATTCCAACAGCCTGAGGCAGAAGCCCTTTGAGGTCTATTGTGCCGGTTTGAGAAGTCAAGGGCATTTAAAACCACCTTCCTAAGACAAAACGTGCTTAAAGGTGTTCAGGCGTGCCTGGTTATAAAGGATCACCAGAAATCTAATACTGCAATGGAAAAAAAATGGAACTTCAAAAAATGGTAACAGATATTATAAAGGGATATCAGGCAAAAGCAGCACTCTGGTAACACCCAAATCTTAAGTAGCAGGCTTTCAGTAGCAATCTGGATACCCTAACCTCCATGACCCCATGGGCTGTGGAAGAGGCTGGGAGCAAGAGGTCTGGACGTTGATTAAGGATTGTTTACTATGAAAACAGTGTTCTAGAGATAGACTAAATTTGAAATTGTGGTGTAGAATTCATGAAACGAGCAGACACATGAACTGAACACAGGTTACTAATAACATGTTTGCACGTTCACGGCTCATCCTGCTCCCGATTCCTGCACCAGGCATGACTGCACAGTCACCTTGGGAAAACTTTGATTTAATTTCGCCTCAGAAAGCATTACTCAGTGGAGAAAGCGTTCAGCAAGCTGGAAACAAGCTACCGCAGGGAATCTATACAGCTAATTAAAAATAAGAAGCCGTCGCTATTCGAAGGGGCTTGCTGGACCATTTGTATCCCACACTCAGCAGTATTAGTGTGAAATCACTGGCAGCATAGGTGACGGTTACTCCCTTGGGACACTGGACTCCAGACTCAGTCTTGCTGGAGGTACCCACTAACCACAACCACTTACAAAGACTAATGAGACCATTTTCAGTTGGATAACACTCATGAGCCGTCAACCCTCAGATATATTGCTACCTCTACCTCTCCCTGGTCCACTAAAAAAATTATTACTACATTTAAGATATACCTACTGACACAAATTTTTGGCCTACATCTCCCCGTCCCTTTTACACAATTCACAAAGATACAAAGAGTCAATAAAAGGAAGGCATTGTTCTGTAAGTCGCTCAATTAAAGATAGTGTACAACTCAGGAGTAACCCGTAAAATCAAGGAGAGGCCGAAAGTGCAAGCGGACAGAGGGAACAGCCAAAGCCAAAGAGTGCACAGCCGATAAGGAGAATCCTGTAGTTAGCAACCGGCTGTGTGCGAACAGAACCGACAGGCGGCTGGATCAGTTTGTGGGGGTTGGGTTAGTTGATGTCAAAGCCTCCTGCTCAGTACTTAACATGAGTGACAACATCACGAGCTACAGCTTGAATAACAACATCTGTACTTTGACATGAAAACTAATGATGTTCATTCAAGGACCTACGGTCCTACAGAAAGAGGAGACCCAACAGCATCCCTGAGCTAAAGAATACTATTATGCTACTCACAAAGCTAACAGATATTCATTAGATGTTAATTAGGCCTTTTATTGGCTGAATTTGTCCAATATCCAGGCCACATAAAATCCACTCACCACTATTAGAAAAAATACACGGATTTCAATCCTTTCTTACTAAAACCAGGTTACAGAGCACTTCCCTTTGGGTTTCTTCATGCAAAAGGCTTTAAAGTCTTACATTGTCATCCTCCTCTTGTGGGAACCACCCGACAATTTTCAAATTTAAATATTTTCTAACATCTGAGGCATGAGTGCAGATAACTCACAGAACCTCAAAGCCCCAGAATGTCAAACCGAACGAGAGATTGGCAAAGACCAACCATTAAGTCGACTTAATCGCTTTTCCTATCTGCTCCTGCGCACAGAGGAAGACAAAGTGCCAAGTCTTCTACTGAGGAGGCATAAAGCAGTGAAGTGGCTCACTATTGAAACAGACCCTTTGTGTCACCACAGTGTCATGACCACAGTGACAATAAAAGTTACTCAGTCTAGAATTGAAGGCTGTTTAACCTTCTCGTCCTCTTCTATTGAGACGTTCAAGGACTTTTTAAAAAGAACCAGCTATGCTAACGTTAAAGGAGTGCAATCCTTCCAAACTGCCATACTGAAGTGTCATACAAGTTATACAACTCCTGTTTACAAACTGAGTCTTTATACAGTTGTAAAACCCAGGGTACAGCTCTCTCTCATTGACATTATGTATGAATCCAGGAGATTCCTGTTCTACCTTCCGTCAGTTCAGGGCGTCTGAGGGCGTTTGGCAGGTTGTCAAAGGGTGGAAATATCTTTCTCTCTGCTATTCTGGCATGTATCGGCTGTGTGAGATGGATCCAGATTTAGCGAGTAAATCAAAGCTTTTCATTCGGATAAATGCAGATATATCTTAATAGAAGGCTGGTGGATGATTAAGCTTTCACTACTGTTTTTTTCACCTGTTCTTGCAAGTGACTTCAGTTAAAGTGACAACTTCGAGGAGATAAATTGACGTGTAACTACTAACTACACACGTTTTACAGTCTAACAAGTGGCATCAAAATTTATATGGGTCTTTCTGATACAGAAATTTCCAGCAACACCAAAAGAAAATGTGAATTCATTTACTCATGCTTCCACTAGTTGCACAGGAGATACTGCTTCACGAATTTAGCGATAAGTGTATATACATATAGACGCGTTATTAAAATACAAAGAACACTTGAAATAAATACTCTTAATGAGGAAACGTAATTTAAAACCATGTTATATATGTGAGATGATGTAGCTTCAAAGCCTGCCCCGTGTTAGGGTCGCCACATGCACTGTATTAAGAAATTAGGTTAAAAACTCAAACAAACAAATAAAAATCCGAAACATTTCTTCAATTCAAAAAACATGAATTTATAAAAATAAATGTAAAAAACGCCTACGGTAGAAAGCTGTATAATGGGCAAAGGGGAAACATGTGTAAGCGTCACAGCTACCGGAGGAGTAACTTTACATTATTTATAAACACGTTACTTAAGGGAACAAACTATTCTAGACGTTTATAGCAGGAAGCGGAAGTTATTGAAATACAAAGAAAGTGTTTAATTTAATGCTGGGACGGAGCGTTATCTGCTCGTTACGTGCGCTTTTTAAAGGCTTAAGGGGGGGGGGGGTTTGTAATTGGGATTAATGAGCTACATTAAGGCGTCATTACCTGGCAAACGGGCGGATCCATGCGCAGTTATTGATTTTTCGCTGCGACTCCGGCTAGCGGGAAGGGGGCGGAGAGCCGCGGCGGTCGGGCGCCCCGGACTCGCGTCCCGGGCTCCGCATGGGGGGACAGCGTGGGCTTGGCGAGCCGCGCTGCCTCACGCTTCCCCTAATAGCCCATTGAGGGGTTATGTTTCACCGTATCGACCCTCACGGCAGTTATTTCTGTCGCGTAGTCGGGGGGATTTTAGCCTGCGCATTTTTATTCATTCACATATTCCACGTCGACTTGCGTACTAATACCGGCCTACAGATTATTATGGCCGGGGTCTATGTCGCTGCGTAACGTATGACCAACGGTTAAATGTCGCCGCATACATTTAATATTACATATGTGGCAGTGTATCCCAGGGCCGGTCAATCCTATAGGCGCCAACTTATGAGGAAGCGCTGTCTTGCCAGCCAATTTCACTTTGGGGGTGGGAGGGGAGCGCCGCTAGTGATGCTCGCCTAGGGTGCCACACTGGCTAGGACCGGTACTCCTGTGTCCCCTTGAATGTTAATACTGCCGCCTGCAGTGGCTATTTGTATTCGGTCTTAACCAAAGACTGCTTAATTAATACAGAGGTGGAACGTTCAGGTCCACAAAGTAAAAATCCAGACCAGGATTTTGCTTCAACCAACCAGTGGAGCATAAAAAGTCTCAGTCACATAGTTCGCAGCTGGTTGGTTCAAAAAAAAAAAAAATCTTGGTCTGGATTTTTACTTTCTGGACCTGAATTTTCCACCTCTGAATTAATAGAATAAGTTACTGCAAATATTTATTGCTCAGGAGAATAATGTAATATATGTTAATTCTTCGAATAAAAATGATTAAAGATCAATCACCGCACCTCAGGGCCGCTATAGAAGGTGACAGATTGTAAACGTCAGCTTAAAGTGACCTCTGCTTAAATACGGAGTTAGCTTACTTTGCCATATGGATCATTTCACAGGTAACAGATGAAGGTGTAAGGACAGAATAATTGTGGCTGTCTTGTGGGGAATGAAATTTCCCCATGAAGATCATATTAAATGCTGTAGACAGACATCTGGTTAACACAAGTCAGGGAAAGTGAGTGAATGCAGCGCCACAAATATTTCTTGTCAGATATATGAAATGAGGTACAATGGGAGATTGTTACTTGCATAGTCGCCTCCATTCCCATGCAGCAGGTGTGGCTCTGGAGCCTTCCTGCATAGGGTGCCAGGGCAGCGACTGTGTTTTGTGGCTGAGAGGAACGTATGGATGAACCGTAGCCCATCCAGACAATGCACACACTGTATTGGTTGCCCTCAGTTTTTAACGCCTTGGACGTATGAAATGTTACACTGTACGGTTTGGGTCTGCGCAATGTAAACAATCTGTGCTCAATTTCACAGTGTAATATGGGTGTAAGATTGTTGGACCCTTGTATTTTTTTTAGATGTCCAAATTAAGCACTGGGGAGTCTTTATGAAACACCAAGGCTAGTTGGCTCCAGGCTTAGCGACGGAGGGCTGGCGAGGAATTTTGAACATTAGCCAACAATTCATGATGAAACCAGGAGCGCAGGCTGCGTTCCTGCACTGGCCCTCCTTAGAATGCTGGCAGCCGCACAAGCCTGTGTTCACCATCAGCAGGTCCTAGGCCAGTGCGCCACAGTACCACCAGTACACAGGAGGCCCGTTTGCTCATATCAAATATCACTGTGTGTCGGAACGGCAGTGGGACTGGAGTCATTGGTGCCAATTTTGATTTTCCTCTCTTAGGTTACAGTGTAAGTCCACCAGAGATGATAGCAACCCCCCCCCCCCCCCCCCCCCCCCGTGTGGTGCCTCGTGGTTCCTGGGCCGGCTGCTGTGGTTCAGCAGAGGAATAGCGCCGCCTCAGCGCCTGGGTTCCACGACCTTGGGAACCCAACGCCACTCCA